TTATAAATCCCTATTTTTTAATATCAATAATAAATATCAATGATACATAAGAGGTATATAAACAATGAATTAGCCAAAAACTGTATAAATTTTTTAACATTTGAAAACTAATAACATAATTAATGTATTAAATACAAAGATTAAGATATATAAATGTTTTTTAAAAAAAAAAATCATATATCTACGAATTTTATTATATCTATTAAAAATGTTATCTAAGTCTGATCTTTACTATCAGTTTAATAAATATTAGTATTTTATGCTAATAAAAGGTTATTTTTTATCTATCTAAAGAAATACTATTTATAGTGACGATCAAAAGTATTGCATCACCTAAATACAAAATTTAAAATGGAAATATCTTGTAATTTAAATGGCACAGTGTTACAAAACTTAAATATAGAGTTTATTATACCTTAATCTTTATCAATCTTTTTCATCTTTTTTTTAAGAATATTTTTTTTGTTATGAATCTTTCGCTAAAGTAGTGATGCATTTCTTTTGATCAATTTAAAAAAATATCAACACTTATTACGCGATTTTTTTTGCTTCAAAATAACTATGCAACACATATAAAAAAGATGCCTTATGGTATTTTTTGCCTTTTGTAATTTAAAATTACTTTGAATCACCGCAGGTGATCAGCACCGGTGTCACGTGATTAATTGTTTATTGCATAATAAATAATATTGTAAAATGTGATCATTTTCTCATTTTCACAGTTCTAACCATTTTCGCGATTCTAACCATTTTCGCGTAAGTTGTAAGTATTTTTTTTTTCTTTACCTTTGTAGGTTGTAGCATATACCGAGCTTGAGTAGTCTTTAATGTGTCAATGACCATATCAGTTCTAGGCTTTAGTTTTAAACAATAGCAATTATCATATCGTATTATTGCTGCGGTTTGTAATGTCGTCATATTGAAACATACTCACCCCTCACTGTTGTTCCTGTGGCTTATAATATTGTCATATCGAACCCCCTTTATTTTTTCTTCTTTACCTTTGGCCGTCTCTATTAGGTTGCAGTAAATACAGTAAAATACTTTGGATACATTAAAGACCATATCGGTTAAAATATACACCTCCCTCAAAAAATCTATTTCAGTTTTTGCCTTGGCAGTTTAAATTTTCTTGATGGATAATGAAAGGGTTCGACCTGTTCAACCTGAAGAAAGCAATAACGTACCATTTAGTAATGAAGAAAGTGATACAGACGATCATAATATAGTCAATGTGAACGAAGTTACACTAAAGATTAGCAATTTGTTTAACGATTGGGAGTCAGTTCAAATGGTCATTGATTCATATGCAAAACAAAATGGGTTTGTGGCCAATAAATATCGTAAGGATCTTGATCCAATTGACAAATCTATCATTAGATGTAGAGTTTATACTTGTTGGAAATCGGGTGTTCATCAACCGAGGAAGGTTGAAGACATAAGTTTGCATTGTAATTATGAATTATACAAAACGGGTTATCCTTGGCAAGCGAATTTCTATTTTGGGAAACAAATAAATCTTATAAAGCTCACCAAATTTGAAGAAAATCATAATCATCGATGTGATTCTAAAACTATTGATTTAGCCCCAAAGAATCTGAGACTTCTGCAGCAAATAATTGACAAAATCGAGCATTATACCAAAGATGGGCGTTTAAATGCCGGACAACAATATAATTTGCTTATTAAAGAATATCTGAATCGACCATTAAAAAGAAGAATTTGTATAACGCGATACATAAGTTTCGCAGTGTACGAGTCCATGATGAAACCGATGCAGCCACAATGCTTTTGCATCTTTTGGAGCTGCGTGATGACAATCCCGGATATTTTGTTTTACCATACAGTAGCGGTCATAAGTATCCGACCGCCTCTAACTCTGGCTACAAGTAAGTAAATTCAAAATTTTTTTTTTTAT